AACAGCCAAAAACCTCTCCACAGGTAATATGGAGTTATGTATAAAGCACTTTTATACAACTGCATCTTATACTGAGTTGAATGACATAAGGTCAGTGCTTGAAGGTGTAATCCCTGTCAACAGAGTAATTTTCACTATCTCGGTGAAGAGTTTGCATCTTAACCTCCAAGACACTTGACTCCTCTCAGCACTCATTGTCCCCCAGTGTGCTCTGCTGCAGGGAGCAACACCACGGAGGTGAAAAGCCACATGCAAAATAAGGAATGGAAGCTCCTTACATGCTGTGTGCCAGCCATAGGCAACGAGGTCAATTACAAACTTCAGAAACCAGCACAAGGAAAAGCTTTCTGAGGGTTTGTGCAGAAACACAGAGGTGTGTGGGAGACCAAGTGCCACTGAACTCAATGGTCAGGGGCATTGTAGAATCAAGATGAGGAAGGGTTCTCATTCAAGGAACTTCCCAAAATCTCCTAGGAAGTTTTTAGCTGAAAAATTAATATGATTATTCCCTTGCTTTTTAAATAGAAAAATAGTGATCTTTTCGCAAAACATTTGAAAATACGTTCCAGGGTTTTATAATGCAGAGCTAGAGTCCCTTTGCAAAGCAGAAGAGCTGTCTGATTTCAATATGATAAATGCTTTTTAGCATGAGGCTGTGGTGGCTACAGCAGTATTAGAAGATTTGTAATCAATTTTACCAGCCTGTGTTGTTTTCATATGCGCTTATTGATTATTAGTTTCAAACAGTAATATTTAGTCTGAATAAAACGTAAGTAGTCAAGAATCACACAAAGATTTAATTACTAAAAAAAAAAAAACAACAAAGGATAAGTTAAAGGGCTGTATGTATACCAACAACTACCATACCTTGACATACCATGTTGCCTCCCTTCCTGAGAATGTGATGGTTGCTCAGTGGTCAGATGAAATTAATGAAGAAACTACATCCACCTAAAAATTCTAGAGGATTCTGGAGTTACCTGATTGCTCTTAGAATTACCTGACTGATTACTAGCCAAGGAAAGAATTTGACCAAATACCAACGTTGTAATATGTTCAGTACTACTACATTTATGAAACCCATTTTCTCTGCTAATTTGACCACACTCTTCTCTTGTGCACCACCAGTCAAGGTACTGTCATTACTACCGAAGGAAATCATTGCCTGTTAAGTAACACATGAACTATACATCTGCCTCTACCATTTGTCCTATATATAGTCTATGTAGAACAAATAAATGAATTTATTGTTCACAAAGATATTTTCACTTTTTCAAATGCTGCTACAGTCTGTAATTATTTGGAGATCTTATGTCAGCAGCATTTGCCCCATGACATGCTTCAAAATTCTGTTTAGAGAATTAATATTACTGTTTGTAGTAGGTAACCTTGAGATATGTTTCTGATCTTCCCTTTCTTGATGGTACACTTCATTATATTTAAATACATTCATGGAGAAGACAGACTGAAGCAAAGGCAGTTACGGGAAGCCAGGTTAACAGATCAAAAAGTTTAAGTGTTTGGGAGTTTTCTTTTTAACATATTGCAAAACTTATGTGTTTCTGAGCACCTCTAAATATCTGTGGCCAGATATTTTGGATCATTTTAAGAAAGTTGGCTGCAAAACCTAATGGCCAGACTTTCCCTCATGGCAAGGATATATGGCTGTGTCCCATAAAATCCAGCCTGCGTCAAAGGTTTCTGGTTCAGCTGCCCTCCTCACAGACCCCTCTGTCAGCACAGTTCTGCTTGCATACAAAGAGCAGGTATGAATATTTTGGTCTTCAGAATCCTGCTGTTAGCACTCTTCACAAGGATTGCTGTGACAAACTAGCTGACTGTCTGTGTGCCCAGTCCTCCCTGAGAAACTAAAGGGAGGACCCATAGGTACCACAAGAATAATATCTTCTTGCTGAACCTTTGGAAGAGTGAATTTCAGCGAAGATTTGCTTGTTTCAAAGAAGGACTCACTCTCGGTACATCTTCCTAATTCATTGGCAGATATCACCTGCACAGAAGTGAGAGACAACAGCAAGGGCAGCAGGATGTGCAGGAAGAAGGAGGAAATTTCTTTAAACAGGTCTCCCCAGATCCTGTTTAGAGCTTCAAGGACAAGATTCAAATTGTTTTCAAAAGTGTGTCCTTCTCAAGGCGGTTCTGATTAGGAAGAAGTGTATAACTGATTGGGAAGAAGTTTATAGTGGATAGACAGAAAAAAAAGAGAAAAAACCCAATTCAGATAGATCAACAATCACCCTAGGGTGAGGTATAAAAGAATGTTTACAGTGTGGCTGTTAAAGATTATTCTATCATGATTCTACAAAGCAAAATATTACAGAATTTTATTATTGGAGATACTGAATTGTTCTATTGAGTGTTGAATTTGTATATAGAGCTAGATAACAGTGGCACCTGGGACACCAAGGAACTGGGTCATTTAGAGTCATAGAATCGTTTAGGTTGAAAAAGACCTCTAAGACCATTGAGTCAAACCATTAACCCATCACTACCGAGTTCACCTCTAAATCATGATACTAAACTAGGTGTCATGCCTACACATCTTTTAAATACCTCCAGGGATGGTGATTCCATCACTTTCCTGACCACCCTTTCGGTGAAGTCATGTTTTCTAATATCATGAGCCATTCCTACTCTGAATGCTTCCTAGGGAAGAGAGAGGGAAAAGGGGAAGAGAGAGAAAAGAGCCTTCTGACAAATTTAAAACCAGAAATCTGTATCTTTCACTTTGACCTGAAATGGATTTGGTATACTACCAAACTGATTTCAGTCTATTTCTCAAACTTTCGTACAAATAAAATTTCATTCACAGGAATACAAATATTTCTGAAGAGATGAACATAAAAATCAATAGGACATGGCCAGGTGTTTCCCTTTCAACATAACTCCAAATATTTGTGATTTATTCTTCCTGTTGTTTGCCCAGCTTTAAGTTGAACCTAAAGCCTAACTATTCACAGCCTTTAGGGGAAAACCCAAGAGTTCTCTTCAGGTAGGCTACAGCAGTGCTCTGTCTACTTGGAAAAAAATAGAAATTATACCATTTAGTTTGTTGAGCTTTAAATCCTTACTAGACTCTAAACACTGCACCTTCACTAAAACACATTACCTTTTAAAAGTCACCTTTTTCTTCTAAATACTCAGCTGGCCGAGTAGATAGAAAATTTTGGCTTTTTATATTTTTCATGGGACAGTATTTAAAATGTCCTATGTCAGGCTTTGGTAGTTCTCACAGTATTTCATAATGTGGAAATTTGCACTGGTCACTGCCCTTACCACTGTAACTCTTAATGGTGGTGATTAAATGAGAAGGAAAAGCCACTTCTACTTTATCTTTAGTTTTCAAAGGATAATGGCTACAGTGCAATCTTAGTGTAAACCAGAGATGCAAAGAAAGGTTTGATCCTGAAAGTACTGGAAATGGATGCTTTTTGGAATAATGCCCAGTGAACTGCAAGTTTCAGAAAGTGAAGAGAGTGTCCTATTAAATCTAAAAAGTTGGTTTGGCTAGTTGTCAATAGATAGTAAAGTCAAAGAACAAAAGTCAGATCGACTTGCTGAGTCATTTCTCTGCTGGAACGATGATCCACCTTTCACCATGTTCTGCTAAACTACCATAGTCCTAATCAAACCTTTATGCCCATAGAGGTATATGAGCAACACAAGGCAAATGTCAAGAGTCAACTCAGAGATCCTAAGGCACGTGACAGAATTATTAACACCTATTTCTGCCTTTTAAGAAAAAAAGGGGCATATATTGTTTAAACACTTGACAGGAATATCCTTTTCTTTCCAGGACTGACATTTTTGCTGCGTGACCCATTCCTCTCTCCGGTATGAAGCTTCCTCCTCTGTTATCCATGGTGATTTATGGGGAAGAAGGCAGGACATGGTCTGAATTCTACCAAAACTCAAGATATACTTCCATAAAGAGAGGAAATGAGTTGTTATGAAACAAGTTACCTGTTTTTGAGCACCTGCTCAGGACTTAGTCTCTTAGCAGAAACCCCAGCAATAATGCTGTTTCTCTGCATTCTGATGGCTGAGTCTAAAGGGGCTTTGTTTGCCCCAAATAAGAAGCTTGACTCCAGAACATCCTAACTCTCTTTTGAGGAAAGAAGCCAAACCCTTTCTCTCCCTACTCCTCGTGTTTCTACCGGACAACTTGCAAATGGGACAAGAGCCACACAACACCTGAGCTGGTGACAGAAAGCTCAGGTTGCACAGGGGAGCGTGTTCAAAGCTCATACTAAACAAAAATTATTGGACTTGATCTTCTTCTCTCCACTAAACACATGTGATTCCTTCTCCTTGGCTAGCATCTCACAGAAATAATGGTTGCAGAGCCAGGTATTGCCCTTACTTGTAGTCAGCACAGAATTCTGTCGTGTGATTTCACAGATATCCTTGAGGTGCCACTTAGCCATCTTCATCATCATTTCCCTTCAGCCTCAGGCTGAAAATGAGAATGAAACTGAAACAGGAAATTAGCCCTTGGGTCACAAGTATGAACATGTGAATGGGACCTGTGTCACCAGTGCAAATGGCTTATTTCTGCTCTTCCTTAGAAACAGGCAGGAAAAGCAGTGTCAGACTCTGAATCCCTGTTCTCAGTTTTAATGAGCATGAGAGAATAACACTGAAAGGACTCACATGTTTCAAGCTGCAATACATCAGGCTGTCAAAAACACTAGGATGCTACACATTGTAATCTTTTCTTGCTCCCCATTGCACAGTCAGTACAATTATCTTGTTGCAGCAAATTGGGGGGAAAAAAGTATCAAGAGTAAATTAGTGTTTAAAAGCTATGAAATCTGTATTGCAGGTTGTCCCATTTCCTATTAAAAATAAATAGAGGAATGTTATGAAAGCATAAAATCAGGATGTGATTTTTTTTTTAACAAGCTTATTTCTCCTTTCCACAGCATTGCAAATACTTTTGGTGCCCAGTCATGACACAATCTTTAATACTATCGGTGACAAAGGAAAAAAAATTAAAACTGGACAAGACCTGTAATTTTAGAAGCAATACATAACAGCGAACAAATCTGATGGAAAATGCCATGAATAGTAATTGTTGGCTTGCAAAAATATGAAGGTCAGGAACAACACCGGATAAAGTTTAAAAAATAAGAATCCATCCTGGGAGAAAATAAGAAATTGTTTTTCATGTAGATGCTTTTCTCAGTCGGCATAAGATTTTCATTGCATCTTTAAAATGCTAAGTGTACTCTTCACTAAAAATAATTAACGGTAAATAATTTGAAAAACTTTACCTCTTTTCAGGTTCCTGGTGTTTATTGCACTTTAAAACTGCCAGGATGAATTATCCACCTCTGCTTGCTCACAGAAGTTCAAGAACCACATGCAGTGCTTGGATACTCCATCATCAAGATTCCCATATCATATCAGAGGTACAAACCTAAAAGGGCCATGGACAAACAGAAATAAATTACCCTATTTGGTCTTGTCATTATTATTAAGAGAAGAAAAGTAAGAAGAAAATATTAGAAAATCAGTCTGAGATTACATATTTAAAACATCTCCTAAAATTCGTCCATTGTGAAAAAATAAATAGGCTGCCTTTTGTCAGTGATGGAACATTATTTTGGAAGCTGTGAGATTCGTGTATCTGTTTCCCAACTGGGCTCTTAGGGGGTGCTGCAATATGTAAATATTCCAAAACATGTATTCCCAAGGAATGATCCCTAAATTCAGTTGTCCAAAGTTTCTGTCTCAGAAAAGTTTTGGAATCTGTTTTCATTTTGCTCCTGAAGGACTTTGCAGTGAGCAATGGATGCTGATCTGCTAATGACCCTCCGTGGCTGCAGCCTGGTGCAGCTCTGCAATAGATGATTCAGCTAATGCCTCTAAACATATTAGTCTTCACTGTTGCCTTGTTTTGGACTCTTGTTGTACTTCTAGTCAGTCCAGTGGACTTCCAGTGAATACACACTAATTTATTCTATTGTAAAAACTAACCTCCTGATGGTGCTTTTGCAGCAGTAGCGACTAAAGGATGCAAGACAGATTAATTTTTTAGGATTAATATTACCTCTCTTTTGGGCCAATATTAATCTACACACTATTACTTCCACGAGCACCATTTACCCATAGAGAAGCTGGTGCGAGACTGGGATTATCAACTTTGTGTTTCTCCTTGGTGTAAAGTCAGAGGACTTTTGAGTAAAACACAATTTTTTTGGTTTTTTTTTCTTGGCTGGATGTTGAGCTGCCACAAACTACTATTTCTGGGTGAAAAGTAGGTGTGCTTGTACCTACTCTAAACTGGGAGGCAGCTTCATGCAGTGGGCCAGCTCACAGTGCCACTGCCACCGACCTGGCAGGAGATCCACTGGCTGCCCACCAGTTCCAGGACCCTCCCTGGCTTCATGACCATAAAAACATGGGGCATTGGAAGACTCATGCAATGCCAAAGCCACATCCTTGTGTAGACCTGGCTTGTGGCTGAGGCACATCATCAGGAGGCACAGGACGTCTTGATGCCATGTTGTTGTTTCCCAACTCGATAGGCAAGTTTATGTGGATAATTTATGCACAGAGAGGCATTCATCTACTATGGTAATGGGAGCCATAAAAGACCTAAAACCATTTGCTTCTGTAATTAAATCATGCATCTCAGGACAACCAAGAAAAAACCTGCAAATGGAGACTTTTCAAATTAAAAAAAATTATGTGGGAAATAAATATTTAAAAACCACACAGGTTAAATGGGTTTGCCTTTAATAGACTGAATATCTTGCTCTTATAAAAACCCCCAAACCAAAAAGAAACAACCACCACAATAACCCATGAAAGCTGAAGTTATTCACTAAGTACTCACTTGGTCTATTCTGTCTGACTTAGAATATGAAGTTTAGGGATCTAAAACCAGATTTGAACGGGTTTTTTTAATTATTATTGATCAGTTTTCTTCTATCTTATGAAAGCCCACCAACAGATGAAGTAGCCATTTCATATTTAGAGCTGTTGGTACATAATTCACATGTGTAGAAAATTTAACAGTTGTTTGTTGTTGTTCTTGCCCTTTTAAAGAAGTCTAAAGGGGTTTTTGTTACTTCACCCTGGTACCCTCCTTTACTTGAAAACATCTTTTCCATTTAGATAAGGCTTCTTCTTTTTTTTATTTTTTTAATATGCCATCACACCACTGTGCAGATTAAGGGAGACATTTGATTATATTGGTGAACCCTGCACAAGGGGCTGCCTTCAATATCAGCGTTTAATCGATTTTATAGACACAAACAATGAAGCCCTTGAAAACCAAATTCATACTTGAAGTGGCTAAGCCTTTTCTGTACATCCCTCTAACTCCAGCATTCAATTCTAGCTAAGAAAGATCATATTCTTCCTGAAGTATTTTTCTCCACACATTTTTTGGTGATTAGCAATAGAAAGGAGTAAAATGCCTGATGTACCACATTAAGAAGGATGCTAAGCGGTTTACAAATCTCAGTAATTAATGACTATTTTTATCACAGAGAATATAGACGACTTTCTTATATCTATCTGAAACTCAATATAAGCCTCTATAAGCCTCCAGGCTGCATAATTGGTGCAATAGAGCTGAAAATGAGATGGAGGATATAATACAGCTCAAGTAATCCTGCCTTTAGCTGAAATGGAACAGTGGAGGCTCTGAGCATCCAGAAATGTTGTTTCCACTAAGATTTAAAGCCAGCCAGCTGTCGGCTGCTGCAGTGAAAATTGTAGTGTTATTTACTTTCTTTAGTATACTTCAAATATTTAAAGTGACACAACCATATTTATGGGCATTCTTTTATCTCTAGCAACTTACACAACGTATATGTTCACATTTTTTCTTGTTCGGGGACAAATGAGTGTGTATTCTTCATAGAAGTTTCAATTCAAGCACTCTGGATATTATCTCAAGTTACAGCACCCTGGAAAAGAAAAATTTGGTTTTACCTCCACTATGCAGTAGCTGTGAGGAATAAAATCTTTTTAAAATTATAATGGGTTTATAAAGGGTTTAGAGAACGGGAGGGAACATAGAAAAGGTTTATGCAGTGGTGACATTTAAAGATTGAAAAAGAGTGCTTGTTATACAGAGACCTGTCTAAATCTGTCAGGTTGGGATTTACTGTTTAGCACATTTACCTCAGATGTGAAATAGAAAAAAGTTTTAAAAAGTAAAATTAAAAAATCCCACATCAATCTCACCTTCTCTTTCATTTACAGTTTGCCTTGCAGAGAAAGTTTGAATGGACTGATGACAATAATGACAAAATCATTAATATAAGTTCCTGTAATTTGTTATGTAACTTATTAGTAAATGATCTCCTTTTTGTGTGAGAGCATTGGAAAAACCCTCAGATGCAGTGTCCTGGCTGAAATACACCCATCAGTTTAGTTTTTTTTTTTATTATTTTTTTCCCTATGGAAATCCTTGTTATTTTAAAGTTATAACAGACAAAATGCAGTCTATAACCTTAGGTTTTGGTTAAGGATTATATCTTTTTTTAATTGTGTGCAAGGAGCCTAGCAGAACAGAGCCCTGAGGCACTGCTGTATAACAATCATTAAATAACATTAAGCCTGTGGCAGGGGAGGAGGAATCAGTACAATCATTGTACATCATTCCTCCCAGATCCACTCTCAGCCCAGAGTGTAGTCCTTGGTCTGCTGCAAATGCCATCTTTTGATTACCCTAGAAAAATCCCATTAAAGTTTCTGCCATTACCACAGTCCTACTGCATTTGTCCTTGTGACAGACACATTACCACGTTCTGCTTCATCATCTGCATCACTAAAATAAGGACACTGATTTTCTGTCTCAGGGATATGTCGTGGATCTTGACACTGCTGGACTGAAAATGATGCGGAACAGCAGAACATTGTTATTACTGCTTAATAATGTTGAACAATACTTGGAAGCTTCTTCAGACTCCCAAGTCCTGCTCAGAAAGTGCAGCCACCTCTCAGAAGAGAGGACTGGTAGGCAATCACTAGGCACTGTGCTCCATCCAAATAGGCAATGGAAATAACCTCTTGTAACACTTCTGTGGGAACTGCCCTTATGCTACAAACTGTACCCCATGATCACTTACTGAACACTGAAAACACTGTGGGACTGTGAGCAGAGAGTGTTGGAAGGAGAAACTTGAAGAGCTGGTGGTACATGGTCAGTCATTATCACCTCCCTACAAGAGAACATAGAGATTTCTCAGTGCCTTTAACCCAAGAATGGATAGGTTAATAAGAACTTGTTCATCCCAGAGATCTTGAAATTCTGTTGATTGTGGTCCAGCCAAAGCATCACTTAGAGTGACAAGAATTTAGTTTTAAAACTGCAAGGATGAGGTATTCTGACTTTTGTGGATGGACAGAAGTTATTTGAATGTGCTTCCCCTCATGGTACAGCTCGGAGCTCAAAAGGAAATCTATGCCCTCAATTTATCTTTCTTTGTACTGCATCATTTATGTATTATTTTGTCTTTATGGATCACACTGCCAAAGATCTGCTAGGTATTATGCAAAGAGATAATATAAAATGTTATACTAAAAACTGCTTTGTCACACATTAAACCAGTGTTATCAAATATGTTTTGGTATTCACTGTGGCATATAGAAATGCTTCTCCTTTTTTTATGCTAAACTTTCACAGTTTTACCAGCATCAGATTTGAACAGCTTTGCCTGGCTGATTTCTTGGAAAACTGGGTAAACGAGGAGGAGGGGGGAAATACATTAAGTTGGAGACGTTGTGAACCTCACATTATTTTCTTTGGTTCCCAAAGCCCATTTGACTGTATGAGCATTTACTCCAGGAATATAAGACCACTCTTTCTGAGTGGCAACTCCCCCATTAAGAGACAGGCTTATGGGCCACAGAAAGTTTTGATGATGTTTCTGGAGCTATACATGACCAAGGTAACAGTAGTTTGGTTGAAAAGGTTGCAATATTGCCAGATGAAAACTTCAGCTAAAAGAAAAAAAAAGTGGGGAAGCAGGACTGAAAATTCGCTCTAATAGAAAAAGTAATAGAGCTGTCCTTATGAAGATCACATTCTCTATTCATGTCTTGGAAGAACTAATAAAAGTTTTGATTTTACTGCTCAAATCTCCTCTATTTTTTTCCATAGGTTTTCATATGTTTCAAATTTGCATTTGCAAATACAATCATCATCTTTCTAGTACCACCTCCTTCTGTGGACTGCTGATGAACACTGTCTTCTCAGAATCACACAACTCATTTTTCTGTTGCCTTCTCAGTATTTTCCCTTTCATTCCTTCCCATATTGACCTATTTTCAGGAACAGTTTCTCGTATTGTCAGAGTTTGAATCCAGGAGGATACGCATTAGAATTAAGTTTTAAAAATCAACCTACAGGGTAAAGGGACACAAAACCTCTACCTGTCACACTTTCTCTTCCCTGCAACAACAGATCAAGATGACAATATTGCTGTCTGGATATACACACACACACACACAGAGATTGCCCAAAGTTTAACAGACTTGTGCTACAGGGCAAATGTTCTGTTAACAGCAACTTTTAAAGTTTACTTTATAGAATTTAGTCTAGCAGATAAATCCAGTGTGGTTCCTAAACCTCAATAATACTGGATCGCACAATGAGTTATCTATTTCTTAATGTTACAGGAACACTAAAGTTGAAAATTGTGCCACTTGCTCAAAGATAATGTGTAGCCTAAACTTTTGAAGCAGATTGCTTGCACAGTTCCATCGCCAAAGATATATTTAACACATCAGAGTGGATGTAGGAAGAGGGAAAAAAAAAAAAAGAAAAAGAAAAAATACTTATCTGCAGTTGGGAAATAATTATGGGAGGATAGTTATGATATATTACATAATATATTATTAAAGCCATAGAATTGTTGTCTGCTGAGCCTTCTGGGGGTTTAGGTGCCATATAAACTGTAAAACGGTGGCAGTCCAGGCACAGTGTGAATAATCTGACCAGGTAGCTGAGGGAAGCCGATCCAAGAGGCTCAAAAAAGTGGAAGGCTTTTGGGAGAAAAAAAAAGAATTTGTTTTCCTGTAAGATTATCAGGTCCAGCTTGGTGCATTAAGTCTCCTGGGATCCCACAAACTCCCTCTGCCATACTGAAGGACAAGAAGCTCTCACACTGCATGCAGAAGCCTAAGGAGGAGTGTTTATATTTCCCCTCATTTGACCTTGATACATCCACAGTATCAAACTTGATCTGTGGGAATGGCAGTCTGCATCTGCCTGACGTGGCCATCCCCCACTGCCACGAGCACTGTTCTGTGGCAGCGAAGGCAGACGACTGACAGCTCTGCTCTCCCTCCCCTGGGAATAAAATAGTGACACAGAACCCATCGGGGAGCTAATGTGCACTGCCCAGGGAGTAGGTAACTTTTACTCCAGTGGGGCTGCAGCCCCATAGGCCAAGGGAAGAAAGCTGACATGTTTCCACTGTTTCCCCTATCAGTTTTGTCAGCCTAGCACTATATACATATGTGTATATATGTATATACATATGTGTACATATGTATATATATATGTATATATATGTAAAGGGACATGGTGCAACTGTGTGTGTGCATCTGCACAGCAGACTAGTGCAGAAGAGCTGGGGTCAGCTCAGCACTGCATAGTTCAGGAACAGCCATTTAAACTCGAGTCCTGCTGTTAAGGAACCTTCCCAGTGTGACCATTCACAAGACTCTCAGGCAGTCACACTCCAGGCACCACAGACTTTCACTGCTGGGACTGAGGCCCTTTCACAGCAGTGGCTCCAGTGACCCAACAGGTCCCCTCTTGACTCCCTGCACACCTGACTCACACAGTCACACCTCCTCGGTTCCTCATCGGTTTGACTACGAGCTTTCCGTATTAGTGTGTCAGATGACTCATTCCATAAAGCAATTTATTCATGGTGCACTAAAGCAGAAACAGCTCGAGTTGGTGCCTCTGAGGAGGGTCTTCGAACAAAGGAATCCCTGGGCTTTTTTTCTCTCCTAGTCCAAGTATGTCAGACTCACTCCACCCAGAGCTTAACATGCAGCCCTGAGCCACCTGCACTGAATGTATTCCTCAGCACTGCCATCACATTCCCAGGGGAATACAGCACCTGGGACATCTTCACAGAGCTCTGGAAGGATATACTGTGACATCCAAGCTCAGCTCTGACCCTGCTGGGTGCATCAACTGCAGCAGAGCCCCAAGCTCACCTTCAGCCGCTCAGGGACCGTGGTGCTGTCCTTGTGAGTTTGCTCAAGATGGATGTTTCTGTATAGCCTGAACTGGACACAATAACTTCTCCTTTGCTGTCTGGGGTTTAAAAGAGAAGGAAACAGAGCTCTGATGAGCATGAGGGATGAATTGTGAGGCAGGTAACGAGCAATCCTCTCTCAAAGGAAGAGAACTAAGCTCTCTCCTCCTCTCTCTGTGGATGCTGTGAGGAGGCTGGTTGCACTTACCGTGGCTGCTGAGCAGCAGGCCTAGTTACTGTCTGCACACTGACAGGAAAAAAATAAGCCAAAGAAGTAAACAACTAGTATTTATTTGTGTAATTAAAGATGACTAAAATATGATAGAAATATCTAATCACCACAAGAAATCCCGTAACCAATTTCCAACGTGATTAAACTCCCATTGTTGCAAAATAAAGTAATCTAATCAACAGCCTGTGTTCTAATTACATCTACCTGATCTTGAAATATTCCTGAGCTTGTTTATATCCCCAAGCCTTTTTATCTTGACGTATTGTAAAATCGTTTCTAAAATGAATCAAGTAATGTGTTTTTCTTTCCGCGGCAGGTACAGCGATGTGAGCACAGAGAGGTTCAGAGAACACTGCCATGAAGTGATGATTGAAAATCTCAGGCAAGTGGGGGGAGCAACGGAGAGGGAAATGAGAGTGCTCAAGGGGAAGAATTATACCAACTGCTGGAAAAGAGAGGAAAATACCCTGTATACAAATGATGGTTATAACAGACCAACAGGGTGAGAAGAAACTAAACAGAGAAGGAAAAGAAGGGAGAGCAGAGAGATGAAAGCAGGGTGATCAGAGGCACTTAGAAGTAGGATGGAGGAAGTGGAGAGAATTCAAGACTTTAAATTACCACCAATTAAGTATTAAAATTTCATATTTCTACCTCTTTCTCACATTTATTCATTTAAGCATTTCCTCAAATCTGATCTTTGCTCTTGTAACCACAGGAGTTCAAACAGTAAATGATAATTGGTGGAGGAGGAGACGGATGGAAGGTGATATATATATATATATGCACATAGCTAAATAGTTAATATTGTAAGAAATACAATAAGTTACCTCCAAAAGATAGCAAAGGATAGGGACTTTGGAGACAGGAAAAACTATGTCTTCCTGTTTTGCTGTACAGTAAAGTGCATTAAGAGGTTTTGATCATGTTATTTGCTTCTGGATGCTACAGCAACATGGAGAATTAAAAAGCACGGCATGGCAGGGGAAAAAGGCAACATGCTTACAACTAGAAAGACTAGAGACAGGAGCGTAGATACTTTCAGCAGCAGACTAACCACACAAACGATGAAGAGGAAAAAAGAAACTTTAAAGGTTTTATTTTCTATTATAAATTCTTTCGTTACTCAAACTACTCGAAAAACCTTCCCCCCACACAAACACATTTTACTTCCAGTGTTATGATTTAAATCAAGCTTGATGAAAATCAAAAGGACACGTAGCACACAGGCAGGGTCCCAATTAAAAAAACTCCACAGGAAACACTGCACAGTGTTCCCCCTCATTTCTCTGACAATAGGGCCTTACCTCAGGTAAGAAAATGGTTAGTTACTTTTAATCTATGTGACAACAGCAAGACCATTTGGACAGGGGAAAAGGCAGAGGAGACAACTTTCAACTGACAAATAAGAAATATTCAGCTCTTGCAGAGATGGGAAAAATTATGGTGTTTCTTTAACATTCTTGAAGAATTCAGGACTTTGGTGTGAAACATCAGCTCTCCTGCTTTCTTGCTTCTGTGGGTAACCAGAAGGATACAATAATTCAGAAGAATAATGCAGAGAATAAAATAATGCCTTGTTTAACATACATGGAGTAAAATTCACCATGTGAAAGCTTTTTACTTCTCATCTTTTTCATTTTAGATCTCTGAGATTTAAGGCCTTTCCCATTGTTAGTCACTGTTAATGAAAAAGCTCTATTATGGAGCTCAGTACCTGAGAGAGTGCTCTGTCTTCTTTGAGAAACAGCAGGGTTGTGAAATTTTAGCAGGGTTCCTCTGAAGCACATCTAGAGACCCCTCAGTGCAAATAGGTACTCAAAGAGGCAGCACCTGGAAAACTGAAGAGATAATTAATATTTTGATAATGACCTCCATATCCAAATTGAAAAGAAAAGAATAGAAACCCAACAAGAGCTGTCACCAGGAAATGTCATGGATGCAGCTTCAGATTCAGAAGAGAGGAAAAGCTTGGCTCAGACTTCCACATTTACTTTGTACGAGACAGGACCATACAATAAGGTTAAAAATACCTTTCTCTATGGAGAAATTGGCTTTGTTGAGAACCCAGTGTGTGACACACATGTCCCAGAGGAGATTTTTCCCAAGATCTGAAGGGTCTTGGGTGCCCAGTCCAAAGGCAAAGCAAGGAAGGGGCTCGGAGAACAATTTGTTACAGGGGAATGCCAGCAGATCAAACTCTCCTCAACAAGTATGAGATAGAACAAAAATGAGAGCAAACCAAAACATGCAACAACAACAAGAACAAAAATTACCTGGGTTAAAAAAATTAAAAAAAAAAATCCACAAATTCAGAACAAGGTTAGCAATTCCCACAAGTCTTCACAAAACTTACATGGCTTTTGTTCAGCTATACCAGTGCCTATAATACACCATAGAGACACTCAGGCCACTTTATAATAGGGCAGGACTGGTCATAGGGAAAACCCTGACTGTGGCAGCCAAGAAATCAACACCTAATCACTTACCTTTTTTTCTCACCTCTTCTCCTCTGGCTGCAATGTTTATATTACTTAAAGTGCTCAAATCTCATTTATTTGTGTACTGCCCCTTTAAGAAGGTTTCTGAGCTTCTGAGTCTTTACTGTTCCTCCTAAAACAGAGAGACAGAGAAAGAGGAAAATTATGAACTTCCAATTACGCAAAAAGTTAGCGTAGTTGCTGATGATTTATACTTTGTTTCATCTTTTATAGGTCATCTTAAAAGTTAACATTTAAATTATTTGAGAAATTCTGACTCTTAAATTGCCTGTTTCAATAACATTATTGCTGCTGGCTCCCTCGAGTGCTTGTGCTCTTAGTTTCCTGATTTTAATTATTAATCCACCACCGCATGTTGTGTTTTTCTCTGTAGCAGCAGAAAGGTTAATATTCATAACCAGTGTTTAAGGCTATTTTTAAAGGTAGGTTAGGAACAGTGCAGGGGAAGATGGAGCAGGGAATCAAGTTTTAATTACTTGTTAATATCCATATCTAGGCTGTGGAGCTGATTGCAGCTCTGCTGCTTCCCAGGCCCTTTCCACACACGTCCAGAAGCACAATTCCATCCAAGGGTGAACATCACTCCCTGCCCCTCTGACATTACCTCTGTGCCAGCTGCTTTCGGGAACCTCTGACCATCAGCTTTTGTAATACTGATCTGCTGAAATGAGGAAGAAATGTTAGAGAATTTTTCATAAAACCAGAAAGCCTGTACACACATGTAATCTCCTCCACTCTCATGCTGCACTGCAATCCAAATAACACATATTGGCTTCTTTCTTTGCTTAGGAAGGACCAAACCCAACTGCATACCTGAGCTTCTCTCTGCCTTACTCCTCAGTGTCTCAGACTGCTTTTTCTCCTGACAGAAATCCAGACTGAAACAATCATCACAATTTATTCCCTGCTGCCTATCTCTGAGACTCCCAAAAGCGTAAAAACTTCTTTTCTTTTTTTCCTCCACAAAGCCACACTCAGAAATCTTCTTTTATATCAGCTAGGATTTCTATCACAGGCTCAACTCTACTTTTATTATCAGAATGCAATATTTGATCCTTTCTCAATAACGGGTGCACTCAACTACATCATTTAGATTGAAGCCAAAGTGAGAAAGAAAAGAGGAAATGAAAAAAAACCTTTCATAACCAATCTTCTCCCCATTTCTATTCCTCATGACAAGGTGAAAGTAGTTCACAATTAGTCACCTCAAACTTGAATCAAAGCTCAGAATTGCCCAACATAGATTTCTACATGTCCCTGCATAACATCTCTGTGTTCAAACAGGGAGGCTCCTGCTGGGATTACTTGCTTCAATTCTACCCTAAAAATAAAGATTAAAATGGACCAAATTTCTACCCTACAGTCTTTTAAACATATAAAGGAAATTGAGACACACACACTTTTGTGCCATTTTAAATTCTCAGCCCATTCAATAGAGAACCAGAGGTCACTTTCTTCCATTTCCCAGTCTCTCCTTCTCTTCCTCTCAGAAATGAACCATCAGGAGTTACAAGGTAAAAATTCAAGTCTTCCCAGAAAATGGAATTTTTTTCCCATGTATTCTCATCAGAAAACTTCAATTTAAAAGGCAACCCAGCAGATATTTATGGAAGACAGAGTAGGATACATACTATAATATTCATTTTTCCCCTCTCACCCAGAGGTTCAGGATTGTCTTTGTAATAGGAAACCCCTGGATCAACAGCATTAGTGAGTTCAAACTCAAAAAGTAATGTTTACTTGGCACTCCTCCTCTTTCCAGTCCTGTGAAACGTGTTCCAAAGTCCATTTTCCCAGGTTCTAAGGGAGTAACACAACTACAGTACTGCCACATAAATTAAATGTCAATTGCCATCCTGACAAGCACCCCACATATTTAACTGATGAACAAGTAAAGTAAGGATTATATATATTTTAGTGCAAAGTAAAAAAAAAAGTGGACTTGATTACATTTTTTCTTGTAGGGTTGTTACAGAATGAACCTCATGGACACTATTATTGCCATTTTTTTGTTTTCTTTGCTTTCAGAATTATAATGCTTTGTTTCACTGCCTGTTAAGACACAGGCAGGACTAGGAACAAAAAATCATGCCTCACGTTTTAGATAGTTTCACTCATCTATATTCACTAGAAGACATTTACCTATTCCTCTATACTGTAAAGATAATGCAAATATTTATTATGCACCACCACTTGAAAAGCCTTTTTTATGTTCTACGTCAAAAAGATGAAGTGAATGAAAACTGAAAGTCTTGCTGCATACACAGAAGATAAAAATTCTAACCTCTTAACTGCACACCATTTTAAATCGCTTTTTCTCATCAAAAAAATGATGAAACTAACCTCAGCTTATTCCCTGTCACCAGCACACCTGCCCATGGTTTCATGCAGAAAGCTGAGTTTTAACTAAGATTATGCACAGTTAAGGCAAAATACTTACAGAGATACTGTATTGATGTTTCTCTGAAGACACTGAAGTGTTATTTCTGTTCTGTCAAAGTCCTCTAGATGGCATCCTTCGGTAAACTTTAATGATTGTGCACATTTTGGCCTCAGTGCAATTTACAGTGTTTTCACTAATGTTTTTAAGTTAATCTACTGTAATGATTGTCAGTTTAATGAGTTATTAGAAGATATTCGTGCTTTTGTAGTGAGAAATGTAAGAAAAATAGAATAAATAACAGCTAATTTATTATAAAATATCATAGAATAAAATATATTTTTGTCTGAAATGTGTTGCAGGCTATAGGAAAAATAAAAGAAACAGTATTTTCAAGCAATAAAATATCTCCTGGAACAGCACACGTGCCTGCAAATACTATAGCAACCCATCTTCCTCCTGAAGTAAGGTGTTTATAAATGAGAACTTCACTAAGTTTGAAGAGTTTATCTGGTAGGGATTCTCTGAAGGCAAGAACAGTTTTACAAGCAGAGCACCTAGTAAATAAAATGAAAACCTGCTGCTGGGTTCCCTGCTTAGCCTTACATCAGGATGCTGCATTCATTTGTAGTAGACCCACAAATGTCAGTCTCTGGATAGCACAAGCCCTCTGTTACTGCTGCATGGAGCCCCATAGCTTTGCAGAAGTAGGTCCCAGCACTAAGGCAATCTGTCTGGAAAAGGACAAGTCAAGGAGACGCCGACTGTTGGTGCCACCAAACAAGGTGATAATCTCCCACTGTGGGTATAGATACATGTGTCAACTGAGATTCTTCCATGCCAAGTCAGCACAAGAAAACTGGACCCAAGCAGTGTGGTTACTGAACAGTTCACTTCCCTTTTATCCAAGGCTATGGGCTACCTGAAGAATCCTGACTCACAGAAAATTGATGCTGGCACAGGTTCTCCAGGATATGGAATGGGCACATCCTTGTGTCCACTCAGATTTCCCACTGAGCAGTGCAAGTTGTGTGCAGGTTCCCTCATGCCAGCGCTGCTTCCAAGTCCTCATTCAGGGCTGTGTGGACTGAGGGCTGCAGGTAACAACGTGCTGACTGTTCCCAGACCATCCCTACACAACTTGCCTTCTCCTTGTACACCTGCTGCTTTCTCACCTCCACTTGATTTAGGGCCCCTTCCCAAGTCACCTCTTGCACTCCTTTCTCTCAGCTGCCACACTCCTCCCTTCCTCATCTTTTCCTTCATCTTCTTGCCCAGGTCCTAAATGCTTGGAAAAAAGTACAACAGAGAAAGCCTTTCCACCTCCCTCCCAGGCAGCACCCAAATATTGAGCTGGATTATAGATCCTGACCCACACAAAGCTACCTGGTAATAATTGCTCTGGGGCACGTCTGCAAGCCTACATTCTTTGCTAGGGAATGTAGATGTTTCAAGGAGACTTGAGAACCAAAACTCTAAACCTGAATCATTAGTTAGTTATGTTTAATTCAATAAGTACATAGGTGTTTCATTTACTTTTTTTAACACCCCAAATTAAGCCATGTATTCCCTCTTGTCTGTAGGCAGCAGGTGGATGCTACTGCTTGCCTTATGCTGAATACCATAGGAAAAAAGAAATGAACAAATGCTATATAAAACAAGCCCAAGCCAAAAATACCCTGAGGTTATTTCAAATACCAGCAGAATTTTGCAGTTGTTCTGGACTTCAACAGCACTGTGAGACTTTTTCATTCATGTTCTGCTGGCTTCCTGGAAAACAACACTGATGTGAATATCCAATCTACAGAAAAAAAAGCCCAATGTATATTTCAAAAGGAGAACTGGCCTTATATCCCAAGGATTATTACAGAGCCGTGTTCATAAACTGTGCCTAGGCATCTCAGGCATGTTGATCTATTCAAGCATAAACAGAGCCAAAATTATTTATAGTTCTATTGTGTCATATTGGATGTTGCAATTGGACAAATAATAGGGCCCAAGGTGACATACTTTAATATTAATAGAGGAGTAGAGTGGGAAATTACAAAACTGAAGAGCTGGGATATCTACAACCTATAGCAAGAACAGACAATGTCATAAGAAAGTCATTCCTGACTAAGACCACATGGATTCAGGTTCCTTTTGATCATTTTGTCTGGTTGTGTACTCCGTTTTATGATGGTTTAATTGTAGCTGTACTTCAAATGCAGTGCACTGATGGGGGACAGCATGGGAGCATTAGGCATAAAATTTAACTGCAAAGCTCAATGCAATCCTAATTATTGTGCTGCTGTGACACCTCCATAATTACTCATTCTTATCCACTGGCTCTACTAAAATAATTCACAAGAAAAAAAAGCAAGCTGAGAATGCCAGCATTGTCACTGCAGCCAGGACTAAAACATGGTGATGCTTGGCTTTTCGACACCCACATCCCTCCATAGAATTTACAGAAGCTCTAATTTAAGCACTCAGTTTCTGTATAATTCAAAGATCATCTTAACTAAGCAGTAGAAAATGTGAAAAAGTGCATAAAATTTCATGTTCCTCAGGTGTCTCTACGCAATCAGCGTTAGTTGTTTTTATTCAGTCAGGATCCACAGCCCTGCAGGACTCGGAAACACTTTTAACACAGGCAGACAACTTACACTTTCCTTTAAAAACATAGAAACTTGTCGAAATAGAAGTGGAAGTTTTTGCTGCTATTTTTCTTCTTATAACAACCTAGGAGCAGTACATTTCATTCATGGACAAAGTAAATAAGCATTGCCGTGCCTTTGTCCCTCTCTACACCAGGAATGCAGTGACAGGACTGACATCCTCAACTTGCTTCTTGTCTCGTGAAACACTGAGTGGAGAGAGTGGATAGGGAAGAGCGATGATAAATGTGTCACAGCAGAGCAGTAATTAGGATTCCACTGGGTTTTGCACTTGATACAGGGAGCATGGATCAATCTCCAGCCTTCTCCTTGCCCAGGGAATGCCCTTATCATGGGATTATGGGGACAATCCTTCACTCTTTTTAAAGATTGGGCAATCCAGCCTCCAGCTTTACAATTAGGATACTTTGATGGGAAAAGACAAGCAAGGATCTGCATTTTCAGTTAAAGAATTAATTAAGACTTGGATCCTCACAGGGGATATGTTTTAGGTCTGGGGAAACCCCCTTCCATTTCCTCCAGACATGTTTATAATGTAATGGAAGCTAAATCAAGACTAGACAAATAAATACTTTTTCAAAAAGATAGAAATCTTGGCTACACTGTTGAAAAAACTCTCAATTTTAGCCACCCTGACTAGTCCACTAAGACAATACAGGTGTCTATTCATAGTCCTTTCAGTGTCAAGAGAGTTGTTCTGTACACGGCACTCTTGTACTTGTGCCCCATTTTACATGCTTTATTTTTTTATACTATATGTCTCAGTGTATCATCAGAGCTGGAGGAGCTACATAACTCCTGATAACCTGTAACACACACTCTGGGACCTGCAAAACGACAGGAACCTCTTCTGTCACAAAAAGGTTAAAGAGCACCTGTTTTGGCTGTGCAGAAAAGGTTGAGGACAATAACTAAAACTCTCCTTGCTGCATTTCAGTGTTTCTGTCCTCTAATTTTAAAGCAGCATAAGTAGGGTAAAAAAAATCATTTATTGGATCATGACACAAGAGTTCTTTAAATTTTCAGAAGGTTAACAACAGACATACAGGTTTCCTCTAGTACTAATAAGTTCAAGTCGTACAAAAAACCTCAAACGCTTTGAAATAAAAAGCTTTGAAGATCTTTTGAAACAATGGACAAACAACCCATAATTTTAAGTTTTTCCCTTCTAAAAGTGAACACTAAAACAAACAAAACCAAAAAAAACCACAAAGAAAACCACAAACGCAAAATACCCCCTCCAAAACAAACCTAAACACAGATTCTGCAATAACATAAAACTCTGAAACTAAAATAAGACACCACTTAACTGCAAGAACTTCAAATAAACAGTGACTTTGCAACACTGTCCCAGCTCAGCTCATTCATTTACTGAGTGCAAGGTCGGCTGATAGGTACTGACAACAAATGTTAGATCAACTTCCCAATCTGCTGGAGGTGTTTAAAGGATTACTACCAAGAGACTTAATAGTATTGAAACTACTTGATTCTCTCTGCTGTTCTAGGCTATAATAGGGAGCTTCTTCCCTCTGCCTACACCACAGGAAAATATCTAATCAAAGGTAAAATCAGATACATTTTTCCTTTCCTGATTATTTCTGAAAACTGAGACCCATTTCACTGAATCAAACATGTGAAGCAACGTGGACCCCTAAAGCACAACAGCCCATCCATATATTTGAGGCTCAGGGCAACAAAAACAGAATGCGTGTTGTTGACTATAAAAGTGAACTATGTGTTTGTTTCACAGTAATCATTTTTAAAGTAACCAAAATATTCTTTCCTACCTCAAATTTTTGCTTAGAAACCATCTAGACCCATGCTTCTGTTATATCAGGATAT